ACCTCCTCCTGCTCAAGCTCATCATCTACCTGATTTCCCACTTGAACACGACTAGAACCTGGTTGGTCTTTCGGTTCTATCTCAATAACTTGGGACTCGGGAGTCCCGACAGTATCAACACCACCATCTTTGGGCACCCTAGCAATCATGAACTTCTCATCAATGGTAACGTCCCTGCTGACACGAACTTCGAATCTTCTGTACACCAAAGGCGGTAGCCTTTTACGCCCTTTGCATACCCCAAGAAAATTGCCTTCTTGGCCCTCGCGTCAAGCTTTCCCTCGTTGACGTGATAGTAGGCGGTACATCCGAAAATCCGGAGCCTCTCATAATCTGCATGCTCCCCTGACCACACCCGATAGGGTGTATCACCGTCCAATGTTGAATGTGGAGATCGATTCACTATATAGCAAGCTGTAGCAATCGATTCTGCCCACCATTCTTTGCCCAAACCAGCATATGATCGCATACTCACTGTTTTTTTCCGTAGTGTTCGGTTCAGTCTTTCCGCGACCCCATTCTGCTGTGGTGTAGATCTAACTGTCCAGTGTCTAGCAATCCCTTCCTGATCACAGAACTCCTTGAAAGCACCTCAGTCTTTCCGCGACCCCATTCTGCTGTGGTGTAGATCTAACTGTCCAGTGTCTAGCAATCCCTTCCTGATCACAGAACTCCTTGAAAGCACCGTCTGTATACTTTGTACAGTTATCAGATCTCAGTGTCTTCAATTTCTTGCCCGTCCTGTTCTCAACCATCGCCTTCCACTTCTTGAATGTCTCAAATACCTCATTCTTATGCTTCAGGAAATAAACCCAAGCATATCTTGAATGATCATCTATGAATGAGACAAAATATCTGGAACCACCCTTGGAAGTTGTCGAAGCCGGACCCCAAACATCCGTGTGCACATAATCTAGTATCCCTCTGCTCTTGTGCTTGCTCCTCAGAAATTGAACCCTGTGCGCCTTTCCATACACACAGTCCTCGCAAAAATCCATGCAAGGCTTCTTCAGATTCTTCAGCAAACCCTCTTTACCAAGCAGATCCAGACCCTTCTCTGACATGTGCCCAAGCCGCCTATGCCATAACCGTGTGTGCTCACATGGGTCTCCACCACTTCCTTCAGCTCCAACTGCTGCATCTCCCGTCACCGTCGTACCCGAGAGAGTATATAGATTACCGTGACGAACACCCTTCATCACTGTTAAGGAACCCCGAACAACCCTCTTCACTCCGTTCTCTGTTACAATCTTGCAACCCCCGGAGTCCAAAGCACCGACTGAGATGAGATTCTTCCGCAAGCCGGGAACATGTCATACGTCCGTCAGGGTTCGAACCACTCCATCATGCATCTTGATTTTGATATTACCTAACCTCACCGTTTTACAAGCATGGTTGTTCCCCATCAATACGGTTCCACCATCAATGCTCCTGTAGGTAGTAAACCATTTCCTGTTTGGACACATGTGGTAAGAGCAACCAGAATCAAGAATCCACTTCCCGGAGGTATCCTCGCCATCCGTGACGATATAACATTCCTTATTGCTCCCATCCTCTGAAGCATAGCTCGCATCTTCCTTGCCTTCTCGTCTTTCAGTCTTGTTGTTGTTGTTCTTCCCACCTACTCTCTTGTTTGGACAGTCGACCTTGAAATGTCCAACTTCACCGCATTTGAAATACGCTCGTCCCGCAAGAGGTCTCGATTTCGATCTAGACTTTCCTCCCTTGCCTTTTCCTCGCTCATTGCCTCTTCCTCTGGCAAACAATCCCTGTGCTTGTTCTTTGCTACCACCAGTGGCCATATCACTAGTTGTAATTTTTCGAAGATCATCCGCTAGAAGCGCCGTTCTAGTCTCATCCATCGATAAACTGTCACCCACAAGCATCAGTGTTTGCACCAGATTCTCATAAGACTTCGGCAGAGATAGAAGTAGTAGAAGCGCTTGATCCTCGTCTTCCACTGTCACCTCAATGTCTTTCAAGTCCGATATGATCCTATCGAACTTATTGATGTACTCCCGGATTGACGAGCTCTCCTCCATCTTGCAAGTATACAATTTGGATTTTAAATAGATCCGGTTCGTTAGACTCTTCGTCATGAAGGTACTTTCCAACTTCAACCACACGCCCGTAGCCGTTTCCTCCCCGTCCACCAAGAAAGCTACATCCCTTTCAAGACAAAGGATAATCGACGCCCGTGCTTCCAGATCCAGCTCCTCCCAATCCTCATCAGACATATTTTTGTGCTTCTCTCTTCCAGCCAAAGCTTTGTGCAATTTTTGCGATATCAGCGAATTTTTTATCCGCATCCTCCAATAGGAAAAATCATTTTTCCCATTGAATTTTTCAATCTCGTATTTTCCAATTTTATTTGTTTTACTTATAGAAGCCATTTACCGCTTGTATTATGTCAATCCGCTTCTCTCAGAAATTTTTAACAATTTTTTGTGTTAGACCACACGATATTCAACCACCACCTCAGATCAGAAATTTTTACCACCTCCAGTCTGAATAAGGCTCTGATACCAATTGTTGGGGCGGAGTCACGCCCGTCGCCGCGTAAGCGATATCACCTGAGAGAGCCCTGGCTTTCGTTGTCACAAAAGCACAAGTCAACCTCTAAATTCTTGTTTCTCAAAGGAAACGAGAATAGATAATGAAATTCTTATTTCTCAAAGGAAACAAGAATCGAAAGTGATATATTTCATAAAAGTGAAATATACACTCTTCCTCTCATCAGTTCAAGGACTGAAATCTCGAGGGAACCTACAAGCTATGGCAACTCACAGATAAGATAAATACAAACACGAGATTTTTACGTGGTTCGGCAAACTAGCCTACGTCCACGGGAGGGGGTTTCACTATGGAAGAAAAATACCAAACTTATACAAGTTCTCTCTTCCTCTCTTTCTTTTCTCTCAAAAATACTCAACTTGAGATTTTTCCCACAATTTTCCCACACTTAAACACTTCACAACCACCTCCTATTTATAGGAGAAAACCCGAAGCAGTTTGGCGAGCTTTAGCGGCGGGAAAGGAAAAACTCGCGCGGGAAAGAAATTCGCGCGCGCAGGACGTCAAGCGGCGCACGAAAAACGAGCAAGCGGCGCGGGAGGACTTCCGCTCAAATCTCCGAAAATCCGGAGATGGGACATCACGAGCTCATGAGCTCGTCGTGGGCTGGAGAGGATAGGACACACCCACGTGGGTGTGTCCCCCAGTGTACACAGAGAGGATCGTAGATATGTGCAAACTTAATAGAGAAGGAGGTGAATCGCTGAAAGGAGGAAAAAGAACTCCTGTGAACTCCTGCAGCTAAACCAGCATTTCAGGATAAAAGGCTCTATTTCGTGTCTTAAATTAAGTCCCTCTAACCATTAGTCCTAAACTCCTAAGTTATGGTGAGGGTCGAGGATTATGGTTTTATATTAATTTTAACATGTCCCCGCAGGTTGTGCGTCCTTTTTATGGGCTGAACCCCGGCTTCACGCAGCATGTCAATTTTTGAAGAATATGCTTTAAATTCATGGCCGGTGGGATTTGAACCTGAGTTGCTTTCATTTTTTCCTAACATCCTCCTATACCCATTCTTGTCCACTCAATGAAAACAGGCTGCCAAAATATAGTTTGATTTAGTTAGGATATGAAATATGGATGGATTCACCAAATTAAAGGTAATAGAATCCTGCAAAAGTTGCTAGTAAAGAAAGGGGTAGATCAAAACAAATTTTAACTGAGGCTGCAAGGGAAGATAACGAAAACGTAACTCAGAAATTAGCCCTTAATATATAGGGTAATAACAAAAAAAATCATGCATCCAAACCAAGAAAACTGAAATAACAACATCAAGAAAGAGCAGAAGCTAACATCATACATCTCAGTAAATTTCAGTATCATGGATCTGCTCATCTCGCTCACAAAGAGGAGAACAGCAATGGAAAAACAGTAGAATCCAAAAGGTTCCTGCAGAGAGAATACCTCTGAAAGAAGGGCAACCACAACAGCAGAAATACAGGGGATCTCTTCAGAAAGCTGGAAAATAACACGGATCACAGTAAAGACCTGGAGATCCTTCAACTGCAAAATGAAAGAGAAACAATTTTCAATCTTTTTCACAAGAAAAGAAGTAACATGCACAAATTGTAGACTGGTTCCCCATTAACAGATGTCTATGTAGGCTTAAATCTAAATAGTAATGGTTTAGAATGTAAACTGATACAAACCTGAAAATGAATCTAGAGTTAAAGATAAAGACCTGAATGGGCAATGAAGCTACAAGTGTATCCACTGCAAGAATTATGTTCGGATCTCCACCCCATCTCAAGTCAATATCCATTATAATTTGACCTTCCTTAAGGCTCTGCACTCGAATACCTTGATAAAAGAGAACGAAGGCATATTAAATGTGTACCTAGAGTTTCATACGTATGGGATGCTAACTCTAACAAAAATTGTGAAAGGACACAAGTAGATAGCTTGGTATGTTTTCCTAGTTGACAAACACTGTCTTGACAAGAAAACAAAATTGAAGTAATAGAAAGGTCACCATGAAGATCCCATAATCACGAAAGCAGGAAATGGACATGCAAATAACCAATTGAAAAATTGCCAAGCAAAATTACAGTTAAGAGGAATTCTGTCACTCGATCTCGTTTGCTAAGCTAAAGTTGTAGAAATTATTTATTATTTAGCATTATTCGCTGCCATTAAGCTATCTAATCAAAATTTGAGATCAAATATACAGGAGCTAACTTGAACTGGACAGAACAATATGCTTGTACAGTACAAAATCCCGTATAATTGGTTGACAAAAGAGATGTCAAAAAGGGTATAAAATGACATGTTGCCTAGCTTTTCAGGTGAACATTTAGTAATCCATAACATCAATATCTATTCCATAAAATAGTTTCTCAAAAAAAAGTAATAAAATAAAATGAAACACAATAAGGATCATGAGATCTACAGAATCAAAATATCGATACATATATACCACTACAGTTTGTCTCACTCATATTCTTCAGCGTGGACTACAATCAAGAATAATTTCTACATGACCTGCTCGATGCATTAAGCAGCAATGATATCTACCTTGATGATACATGACAAATATTGTTCACAATGTTTCATTAAGACTGTTCTATATAATCTTAATTATGGAGCATGAAATTTGATAATGGTATCTAAAACCAAGGCCTGAAGAAGCAACAATGCTATATATATAACATCTGATTAGTTTATCATAAAGTATTCAAATTGTTATACAAAGGATGAGAGGAAGGAAAAATAACCAGCATAATGAAGGAAAAACGGTAATGCATATCTACAGGTAGGAAAGAAATACAGACCTTCAATCTTAGGTGATACATATCCGAGGGAGAGTTTGCTAAACTTAAGCGACGATATTCCAGGTGGACGATAATCTTCTAATATTGGCTCAACAGAGTCCTTAATGACCATTGACCCAGCCTGTGATCAAGCAAAGAAAAAGAAAATTTAGCATGGAACAGTTGGACACTGACAGCTAGATTACATGCATATATAGAACTTTTGGTATTCAACACATCAGGATTATCCCATTGATTTCTGGGACAATCAAACTCCAGACCTTCTATACATGATTACAAGCTGAAAGTTGTGAAAAAAAAAAAGAACGAAAATTTAGTTGCAAGAGAGCAAATTTGCATTAAACCTCTGAAGGCATTCTAGTTACACGGTCCCTCCTAAAAACTTATACACAACAGCAAATAAAGATAAAAATATCCTGAACAAAGGTGTGCGTCTTACTTCAGCAATGAAAGGCCATAGTTTGCTCAGTTGCTTATTCAACCACTTCACCTGCACAGAAATGGCGAAGAAGAAATGAAAGTAAAAATAATATCAAACAACAATGACACGTTTATCAAGACTCCTTTCTATTGGCCATGAAAACAGATAGAACAAAAGCAAAACGTGAACAGACAGATAAGCAGACACGAGGGTTTAGATGAGTAATTCATAAGTATCTAACTTGGCTCAATGGTATGCTGACGTATAAAACAAGAGAAGCGTGATGTATTGAACTCAGCCTCAACTGGACCTGAGCATGTTTTAACCCTGAACTCAAAACTGTGTTATGCATAATGTTCCGCAAAATCTGCCTTTGTTTCCAAGTTACCCATGCTCAACCAAAGTCATCGGAATGTACAATGTCATTATTGATATACTTACGCAGTTAAAATCAGATAGCCTATCTATTATTGAGCTCTTTCTATGTATCAACACATGATTTTGTTTTTACCCTCAAACAACCCATCAATATGTACACGATGCATAGCCGCAGTCGTGAATTTGGCCAAATAAACGGACAACTAAACAACTAAGAGAAGAATCAACCTGTTCGAATGCAGGAAAAGATATCCACTCAGGATAATTGTCACCGCAGAGTTTCTTCAGATCCTCTCGGTTAAGAGAAGACAGGAGCTTTACGTCGACAGCCTGCAAAAGAGGGAGGCAGCCTACCATCATTTTCAGCAGAAATACTTATACGGAAGTCCATGACAGTTATATATATTCTTGTAATGCGCCAATGACACCAAGCATTCACTATTCCAATCGATAAAATGAACATTTTCATGTGACAACATTAACACGTTCGAGCACAAGATAGACTAGCAGCAGGCCATTAGGTGCAAGTTCAAGATTGATGATCTTTTACATTTGTACGTAGCTGTTTTTTTTTTCCCTGCTTAACAAATATGGGACCCACAAGTTTGGAATCCCAGTTTTTTTTATCAAATTTTTACACTGTTTGTTTCGCATTTTTAGTGTTGTCACGTTGCGATCCGCAGATCCGCAGAAATCATGCTGATTTCAGCAGCCACATTGTGAACCACAAAAATCATGCGAGAACAAACACTGCATTTGATATAGATGGGGCCCACAAGTTTGGAAAAACACAGTTTTATGGAAATACACTGTTTGTTTCGCATATTTTTTTTTCACGCTAGTGTCGTCACATTGTGATCCGCATGCTGATTTCAGATGTGCAACCAAACAAAAACTCAGTTGATTTTGTCCTCCATATGCAAACAATTCTCCCTTACGTGCAACAAAATCCTTTGAACATGCAACCCACAAGCCAAACTGCCTCCAATTCTTTTGTGAGATTTAATTCCAATAATTCCATGACAATTATAAATCTAAATTGAAAGAAAAATCCGACCCAAAAAAAAAAAACCCCCCCATGATACCTTGCTGACGCGCTTGGTGCTTCGATGCATCATCATGCGGCTCCATCCGGCGATGAGCGCGATTCCCAACATCACCCCCATAACCATCCCCGACACAAAACCCATCGCCTATCGAAACCCTGGCGCACGAATCTCGAAGACCGACAAAGCGAGAAGATGTTATCGAATGGGCCCCGGTCTCCCGTCGCTATCTCATTTGTTTTTTTTGTTTTTTTTTTTTTTTTTTCAGATCGACGATGACAACGAAAGGCGGAGGAGGAGAGGGAACGGTGCCGGTTTTGGAAGGAAGGGTGTGGGGCCCACCAACCCGAGAGTCTCGGTGTATGCATAACCACTTCAGTACCTTAAAAATTTTCGGCTGAATTGCACTAAAATACCTTATGATTCGCTAATTTAGCACCCGTATGTATGAACTCAGCTTGTTTTTTTAGAGCATTTATATACCGTGAGTTATTTAAAAATTAGCACTTTAGTAACTTCTGCTGTACAAACATGAAACAATAAATTAAACAAATATTGAGAATAAAAAGCTCTAAAAATTAATATGTGAATGTTATATTGGAACTTTCACTTGAAAATTACTATGTTTGAATAACATAGGGTACTAAATTGCTAAATTTAACCAACTCCGGGTATATTAATGCTCTAAATAATGAATGAGGGTATATAATTGCTAATGAGTGAAACATAAGGTATTTTAGTGCAATATAGCCTAAATTTTCAGTACCTTGCACTTCAATACCTCATGCTATGAAGATGTGAGAATTTTCTCTTTAATTTTTCATTGAGACACTCGCAGGTCAATTTCAGAATCATTTAAATGGTAATTAGAAACGTTATTTTCGCTTAGTCCCTTCAAGCGTTAAATATTTTGAAAGTAGTACCTCAAATCATTTAAATTGCTATAAATTTCTCAAATTACATGTTGTTTCAAAATTAGTGACTTAGATTATTGAAATTTCTGGTGGGTCCACTAATTCTAATAAATTATTTCAAATTAAATAATTTTAACCATCAGTAATAGGAATAGCAAGATGTAAGCATTTGGGTGACCTATAACAACTTCACTGATTTGAGGCACTACTTTCAAAATATTACAGCTGCAAGTGATTAATTATTAGTAATATAGTAAGGGTTTTTCTATAGAATGCCCATGGGCACTCTATAAGAAAGGAGAGAGATAGAGAGAAGTGAATTGCCCATGAGCCCTTCTGATTTGCACTAAATTCTATGAGCAATTCAATTCTCTCTCTCTCTCTCCTCTCTTATAGAGTGCCCATGGGCACTCTATAGAAAAACCCATATAGTAAAACCCCAAATACTTTCAATATATTAAAGATTCACAGACTAATGTGGTAAAATCTCAATGCGATTAATTATTCTTGTCTAGTGTCATCAAATTCAACCCAATCACAATTAATTTCCGTGCAAAAAAATTTAAGACTTTTCATGGGCTATAACTTACGTTTTTTGATTTTTTTTATCATTTCGAACCAATTGCATGTTGGATTTAATCTAATAAATCTATTTGTGGGCACATATGATTAATCAATGTGTATTGCTATCTTTCAGGATAACCCACTAAAGTGATCAATTAAGTTGGGTTAATTTGGTATTTAAATAAGTCATGGGGTTATATGTGCAGATACCAGGTTGTAATTGTAATTTATTGAGGGGCTAAATTACAAAAGTACAACATCTATAAATAAGGGGTTATGGTCCCTAACCTAGGGTTACATTCTCTAATTCTCTACACCCCCATCTAGCTAGAGAAATTCGGATTTAGAGAAACCCTAAGGTTAGAATATCCAAAACCCATCTCAAGGTTCATCCATGGATTCAGGTATAAGCTTCCGCTCTCTTTTGATTTTGTTAATCTCTTTGAATTAATCATGGCTATATGGTTTTAGATCTCAAGTTTTAAGATGTAGATCTAACAAGTGGTATCAGAGCCACCTTGATTAATTCTTAGGGATTTAAGTTTTATTGGGTTTTTGATCTTAAATCTCTGGTTAAAGATTCAATTTTTTTTGGGTTCGGATGAACAGTAAATTTTTTGGGTTCGGATGAACAGTAAAAAATTTTTGTTCGGATGAACAGCAACGAATTTTTTTTTGGATGAACAGTAACTTTTTGGAATTTTTTGGATTTTTCTTTGATTTTTCCTTCAATTTTTTCCAATTCTGGATCTGTTTTGAAAATAAAAATCAAAGATTTTTTGTGTTTGACGGCGGCGGTTTCAATTTGAAACCCTAAGGGTTCATGGCGAAAATTAAGGAGGTGGTTACCTCAAACGAACCTCGCGTTCGTTCAATTTTAACCGAGCTTCGCGCTCAACGAACCTCGCGTTCGTTCTAAGGTGAACCTCGCGTTCAACTCAGGTGAGCGTCAAGCTCAATTTTAACGAACCTCGCGTTCGTTCTAAGGTGAACCTCGCGTTCAACTCAGGTGAGCGTCAAGCTCAATTTCAACGAACCTCGCGTTTGTTCTAAGGTGAACCTCGCGTTCAACTCAGGTGAGCGTCAAGCTCAATTTTAACGAACCTCGCGTTCGTTCTAAGGTGAACCTCGCGTTCAACTCAGGTGAGCGTCAAGCTCAATTTTAACGAACCTCGCGTTCGTTCTAAGGTGAACCTCGCGTTCAACTCAGGTGAGCGTCAAGCTCAATTTTTTAACGACCCTCGCGTTCGTTCTTCAGACGACCCTCGCGTTCGTACTTCAGACGAACCTCGCGTTCGTACTTCAGTCGAGCCTCGCGTTCGTACTTCAGACGAACCTCGCGTTCGTGCTTCAGTCGAGCCTCGCGTTCGAACTTCAGACGAACCTCGCGTTCGTACTTCAGACGAACCTCGCGTTCGTACTTCAGACGAACCTCGCGTTCGTACTTCAGACGAACCTCGCGTTCGTACTTCAGACGAACCTCGCGTTCGTACTTCAGACGAACCTCGCGTTCGTACTTCAGACGAACCTCGCGTTCGTACTTCAGACGAACCTCGCGTTCGTACTTCAGACGAACCTCGCGTTCGTACTTCAGACGAACCTCGCGTTCGTACTTCAGACGAACCTCGCGTTCGTACTTCAGACGAACCTCGCGTTCGTACTTCAGACGAACCTCGCGTTCGTACTTCAGACGAACCTCGCGTTCGTACTTCAGACGAACCTCGCGTTCGTACTTCAGACGAACCTCGCGTTCGTACTTCAGACGAACCTCGCGTTCGTACTTCAGACGAACCTCGCGTTCGTACTTCAGACGAACCTCGCGTTCGTACTTCAGACGAACCTCGCGTTCGTACTTCAGACGAACCTCGCGTTCGTACTTCAGACGAACCTCGCGTTCGTACTTCAGACGAACCTCGCGTTCGTACTTCAGACGAACCTCGCGTTCGTACTTCAGACGAACCTCGCGTTCGTACTTCAGACGAACCTCGCGTTCGTACTTCAGACGAACCTCGCGTTCGTACTTCAGACGAACCTCGCGTTCGTACTTCAGACGAACCTCGCGTTCGTACTTCAGACGAACCTCGCGTTCGTACTTCAGACGAACCTCGCGTTCGTACTTCAGACGAACCTCGCGTTCGTACTTCAGACGAACCTCGCGTTCGTACTTCAGACGAACCTCGCGTTCGTACTTCAGACGAACCTCGCGTTCGTACTTCAGACGAACCTCGCGTTCGTACTTCAGACGAACCTCGCGTTCGTACTTCAGACGAACCTCGCGTTCGTACTTCAGACGAACCTCGCGTTCGTACTTCAGACGAACCTCGCGTTCGTACTTCAGACGAACCTCGCGTTCGTACTTCAGACGAACCTCGCGTTCGTACTTCAGACGAACCTCGCGTTCGTACTTCAGACGAACCTCGCGTTCGTACTTCAGACGAACCTCGCGTTCGTACTTCAGACGAACCTCGCGTTCGTACTTCAGACGAACCTCGCGTTCGTACTTCAGACGAACCTCGCGTTCGTACTTCAGACGAACCTCGCGTTCGTACTTCAGACGAACCTCGCGTTCGTACTTCAGACGAACCTCGCGTTCGTACTTCAGACGAACCTCGCGTTCGTACTTCAGACGAACCTCGCGTTCGTACTTCAGACGAACCTCGCGTTCGTACTTCAGACGAACCTCGCGTTCGTACTTCAGACGAACCTCGCGTTCGTACTTCAGACGAACCTCGCGTTCGTACTTCAGACGAACCTCGCGTTCGTACTTCAGACGAACCTCGCGTTCGTACTTCAGACGAACCTCGCGTTCGTACTTCAGACGAACCTCGCGTTCGTACTTCAGACGAACCTCGCGTTCGTACTTCAGACGAACCTCGCGTTCGTACTTCAGACGAACCTCGCGTTCGTACTTCAGACGAACCTCGCGTTCGTACTTCAGACGAACCTCGCGTTCGTACTTCAGACGAACCTCGCGTTCGTACTTCAGACGAACCTCGCGTTCGTACTTCAGACGAACCTCGCGTTCGTACTTCAGACGAACCTCGCGTTCGTACTTCAGACGAACCTCGCGTTCGTACTTCAGACGAACCTCGCGTTCGTACTTCAGACGAACCTCGCGTTCGTACTTCAGACGAACCTCGCGTTCGTACTTCAGACGAACCTCGCGTTCGTACTTCAGACGAACCTCGCGTTCGTACTTCAGACGAACCTCGCGTTCGTACTTCAGACGAACCTCGCGTTCGTACTTCAGACGAACCTCGCGTTCGTACTTCAGACGAACCTCGCGTTCGTACTTCAGACGAACCTCGCGTTCGTACTTCAGACGAACCTCGCGTTCGTACTTCAGACGAACCTCGCGTTCGTACTTCAGACGAACCTCGCGTTCGTACTTCAGACGAACCTCGCGTTCGTACTTCAGACGAACCTCGCGTTCGTACTTCAGACGAACCTCGCGTTCGTACTTCAGACGAACCTCGCGTTCGTACTTCAGACGAACCTCGCGTTCGTACTTCAGACGAACCTCGCGTTCGTACTTCAGACGAACCTCGCGTTCGTACTTCAGACGAACCTCGCGTTCGTACTTCAGACGAACCTCGCGTTCGTACTTCAGACGAACCTCGCGTTCGTACTTCAGACGAACCTCGCGTTCGTACTTCAGACGAACCTCGCGTTCGTACTTCAGACGAACCTCGCGTTCGTACTTCAGACGAACCTCGCGTTCGTACTTCAGACGAACCTCGCGTTCGTACTTCAGACGAACCTCGCGTTCGTACTTCAGACGAACCTCGCGTTCGTACTTCAGACGAACCTCGCGTTCGTACTTCAGACGAACCTCGCGTTCGTACTTCAGACGAACCTCGCGTTCGTACTTCAGACGAACCTCGCGTTCGTACTTCAGACGAACCTCGCGTTCGTACTTCAGACGAACCTCGCGTTCGTACTTCAGACGAACCTCGCGTTCGTACTTCAGACGAACCTCGCGTTCGTACTTCAGACGAACCTCGCGTTCGTACTTCAGACGAACCTCGCGTTCGTACTTCAGACGAACCTCGCGTTCGTACTTCAGACGAACCTCGCGTTCGTACTTCAGACGAACCTCGCGTTCGTACTTCAGACGAACCTCGCGTTCGTACTTCAGACGAACCTCGCGTTCGTACTTCAGACGAACCTCGCGTTCGTACTTCAGACGAACCTCGCGTTCGTACTTCAGACGAACCTCGCGTTCGTACTTCAGACGAACCTCGCGTTCGTACTTCAGACGAACCTCGCGTTCGTACTTCAGACGAACCTCGCGTTCGTACTTCAGACGAACCTCGCGTTCGTACTTCAGACGAACCTCGCGTTCGTACTTCAGACGAACCTCGCGTTCGTACTTCAGACGAACCTCGCGTTCGTACTTCAGACGAACCTCGCGTTCGTACTTCAGACGAACCTCGCGTTCGTACTTCAGACGAACCTCGCGTTCGTACTTCAGACGAACCTCGCGTTCGTACTTCAGACGAACCTCGCGTTCGTACTTCAGACGAACCTCGCGTTCGTACTTCAGACGAACCTCGCGTTCGTACTTCAGACGAACCTCGCGTTCGTACTTCAGACGAACCTCGCGTTCGTACTTCAGACGAACCTCGCGTTCGTACTTCAGACGAACCTCGCGTTCGTACTTCAGACGAACCTCGCGTTCGTACTTCAGACGAACCTCGCGTTCGTACTTCAGACGAACCTCGCGTTCGTACTTCAGACGAACCTCGCGTTCGTACTTCAGACGAACCTCGCGTTCGTACTTCAGACGAACCTCGCGTTCGTACTTCAGACGAACCTCGCGTTCGTACTTCAGACGAACCTCGCGTTCGTACTTCAGACGAACCTCGCGTTCGTACTTCAGACGAACCTCGCGTTCGTACTTCAGACGAACCTCGCGTTCGTACTTCAGACGAACCTCGCGTTCGTACTTCAGACGAACCTCGCGTTCGTACTTCAGGCTGCCCCCATTCCTATATATGGGTAATGGGTTGGTAGTAGCTTGGGAGAGGGATGAAGAGGAAGAAGAGACAGTGAGGAGAAGATCTGAGCTTGAGCTTCCCTCTGCTGTGTGCGATCTCCCCCTTTTCTGCGAGTTTGTGCTCCTGTGAGCTTTGTGCTCTCAACCCCTTTGTGCGATCCCCTTTGTGAGTAACTGGTGAAGGAGATCGGCGAGCTCTCCTTTTGGTCCTTGGTGGTGCACTGTGAAGGAAGAACGAGGACTGGTTGAACAGGCTTCTGAGCCAAACAGCGACGTTGATCCTCAACATGAATGAATGAAATCAAGTTCTTTTCTCCTTCTTAATTCCAGTCTCTGTTCATCTTCTCTCTCAATTCTCTCAATCCTCTCAATTACCTCTCTCGCAAACTCTTCTTGTTCGTCTCAGGCTCATCATGGCCAGGAACAGCACCAAAGAAATCAACAGAGGATTAAGATCCTCACATACTATATAATCTTGTTATTATTATATACAAGAGAAGATATATCATATAGAAAACAAAAACCAAAAGTAATTGTTGAGCAAAAGCCTAGGTTTCAACCACAAAAAAAGGTCCTCAACCTGCAAATTGTGTGTTAGAAATTTAGAATGTAGAGTTTTAACTGTTGAAACTTTCATAGGAGTTTTAATGTAGAAATTTTATCCATAGAGATAATTTTGAAGTCCTTGTCTAAACTTGTGATGTCAAAGTTATATGGAAGGGGTTTAAATTTTCTTATGTTTTTAACGATTTTCTTTCTTAATTTTTTGTAACCGTGTCCCCATCGAGATCCCTGGACAATTATCTTTATTTAATTAGTGTGGTTGATTATAGTTCATAGAATTTCATGATTTTGAAGTAAGTTTAAAATCAATTAATTACCTGAAAACACATAATGATGTCATCTCATCTGAGGCAAACATTCGTCTTCAAATAGATTAGACGTGAAAAGAAGAGAAGTATCTGTATTACTCCGTGTAACATAGATTCATAGTTTCTTTCTTTCATTTTGTTTTAATGAGAAGCATAATTTTCCTGTTTTTTGAAATATTTTCTAACCAGAGTGATTATTATTTTCTCCCAGGTTCAGCTCGAACTCAACCAATTTGGTCTCCTAATCTACAACGCCAATGTTAAGCAACTGGTCGATGTCAGAGGCCATGAGTACTTCTCCTACCTCGGCCAAAAGACCCAAATGGAAGCAGCCAACCAAGCAAAGGTCGATGTTGCAGAAGCCAGGATGAAGGGAGAAGTCGGATCGAAACAAAGAGAGGGAGAAACATTAAAGAATGCAGCTGACATCGACACAAAAACAAAGATCTTTTCGACACAGAAGCATGGAGACGGGAGGAAGCAGGAGGCTAGGGTGAAGGCAGAGGTGAAGATATATGAGAATGAGAGGGAGGCTGAGGTGGCGGAGGCTAATGCCACACTGGCAATGAAGAAGGCTGAGTGGGTGAAGCAGACTCAGGTGGCTGAGGTGGTCGCTGCCAAGGCTGTCGCTATGAGAGAGGCGGAGCTTCAGTTGGAGGTCGAGAAGAAGAATGCGATGAGACAGACTGAGAAGCTCAAGGCTGAATTTCTTAGTCAGGCTACTGTGGATTATGAGATGAAGGCAACATATATATCTCAATCTCCATTATGATTCTATAAAATCCGAAATATTTATCTCCTGAATGAACCTATTTCACTCACTCAGCTCTATTAATGAGCTTCCCAATATTAGCCAACATTAGGATTACCTCCTATTATCAAATATACATCTACATTTTCTCCAATGTCTATCAATATTTGCTATGAAATTTTAACATTAAATGCATTATATACTGGAGTATTACTATTTGGATTCAGATAGAGACCATTTTTTCAATCATAAAAATGTGATAACATCTAGAAGATTGTGATTTCATCGTAGTTATGTGAGTTACACTAAATTTCTCTTTTAACTCCGACAAATTGTAATCGATCAATTAATACTAGATGCTTATAATTTTGAATTGTTTTTCACTGTACAATTGCAATCTGGAGGATCCGAGTTCTTAGTATAATTGATATTCAAAGTGTTCATTCTTAATATCATGTAAGATTACTACCTCTTAACACTTTGAATTTTGATTTTGCATGACAGGTACAAGAAGCAAACTGGAAGCTGTATAACAGACAAAAGGAAGCCGAAGCACAGCTGTACCAGCAAGAAAAAGAAGCAGAGGGAAGCCGTGCAGTCGCTGAATCTGCCTTCTTCTCTCGCCAGCAGGAGGCGGATGGAGAGCTCTACGCCAAGCAAAAGGAGGCTGAAGGACTACAGGCTCTAGCTCAAGCACAGGGGTTCTACCTGGAAACTTTACTGAAATCCCTTGGCGGAAATTATGGAGCACTCAGAGATTACCTGATGATCAATGGAGGAATGTACCGAGATATGGCTCGCATTAATGCTGATGCTGTAAAGGGATTGCAGCCCAAGATCAGTGTTTGGAGCATTGGCGATGGTGCTGGCAGTGGAGAGCTTGCTGGCGGCAGAGCTGCTACTGGAGCCATGAAGGAGATTGCTGGAGTGTACAAGATGCTGCCTCCATTGTTTATCACAGTTCAAGAGCAGACTGGGATGCTTCCTCCTGCTTGGATGAGTTCAATCCCAGCACCAGCTAAATGAAATTGATTGACGATTTTATCTGTGAAGTTTTCTAGGAATTTTTTGTTTATCCAATTTATCTAGTTTTGACTTGGCTTTTAGGGATACTTCAATACAATGGATTTTTTTAATAGAAACTTTATTTAAATTAGTTTGTTTTGATTCTTTGGCTACTTGGGTGAAGAGTTCAAATTTTCAGCAAAAATGATGTTTTTATAACAAAACCTGCTGGTGTTCTATCTATTTGTTCCTAGATGAGTAATGAACCTCTATTGTGTATAGGAATTAGCATTCTTCAGTATTCTGTTCTTTTAGGTCAGGAATTGCGAATATCTGCGATGAAATAAGAACACTTCTAATCTAGAAACTAGAAACATGTCAGGTTGGTTACTGCATACTTGCCGTGTTATTGTAGTATCGGACACAAGTGATACGCTTGAGCCCAATCTTTGGGGAACTTTGCAGGTTAAGCGTTATTATGTTCACTTACTATTAAGTAGTAGCTCTCAGATATTGAAGAAACGAGAGGAAAGAGCCGGCAGTATCAGAACCTAAACTAGATGAACAATAGTTCGGAATAAGAGTCCTTTCCAAGGATCTTGAAGATCTCATCTCTTCCATTGTGGATTCACTTTCTTATCTCTCTGAAGATCTCATCTCTCCAAAGATCCTATATTAACATGAACAAGAATAGAGTGCAGAAGTTGTGAATTCTCCAGTTTTTTTAGTCCGGAATGAAAAAGTCTGTACAAATATTGTATGAGGCTCCATCTGAGTATTATGTTCACATGTTTGTAATCCTCTGGGTTTTTTCCATTACGTTCTTGTTAATGAAACGCAGGGGAACTTGGCGTCACTGTTTATCTCGAAAAAAACAGGAACAAGAAAACCTCAAGTCAGAATCAAGCACCAACAACAACAATAAAGCCAGAATCTCATCTCTCCGAAGAACTAGTGGCCGAAATCCTCTCCCACCTCCCCTTTGAAATTACCACCAAATTTCAAATCCACTGTGCACTTCGTGGAATCAACTCATCTCTCGTCCCTACTTTACCTTGTTGGGGGTTCGAAACAATCAATCGAACCCTTGCCCTTCCGGACCTTGTGTTGAAAGTAGGAAAGTAGGAATAAACCACAAATAAAGATCTAACCTTGTAAAAAACAGTAAAAGAGACGAACACACAGATTTAACGAGGTTCGGCAACGTGCCTACGTCCTCGGGAGCCACACCACACAATCTTTCTATTAATTGAAGAAGAAAATACAAGCTCTCAAACAAGGGGTAAATCTCTCTGAGATTCTCTCTCTCTTTGCAGCCAAAAACTCTCTTTTTGATGTCTTTTTTTTGATGTCCTACAAACCCTAGAAACGTTTGGGTATTTATAACAAACCCCAGCAGAACAGGATTCCTAGATAAAATAGGAAACAGCGAATCTGCGTCGCGGTCGACCGCTTTGCCAAGGTCGGTCGACCGGTCAGAACGACGAAATCCTACAGGGTCTTGTGCACGATATCGGTCGACCGCAGCGACCACGCCGGTCGACCGGCCAGAGCGAAAACTTCTTCTCAGTCTCCTGCAGTGCACGCGGTCGACCGGCTCTGCCACTGCGGTCGACCGCACAGTCTTCTGACTGTTTTCTTCGTCTTTTCGATTACAGCTTTGGGTCTACACACTTAGACTAACAATCTCCCACTTGGAGACCAAAGCGTCATCAACGAGCTTACCCGAACTCTCCCCTTCTTCGCATGTATCTTTTTCCCCGAAAAATTCTTTCTTCAATCAACATCCCGACGATCGCGCCGATCCTCGTAGTGTGGCTCCGCCTTCGTCTTCTACTCGTGAAGGCCAACTGAAGTTGCGCACAACTCCAGTTTCTCAATGGTGACTGCCTTCGTCAACATGTCTGCCGGATTTTGACTCCCCAAAATCTTCATTAAGTGCAACTTTCCGTCCTCGATCAGCGAGCGTATAAAATGGTATTTAACGTCGATGTGCTTCGTTCTGGCATGATATACTGGATTCTTAGCAAGATGTATAGTGCTCTGGCTATCACAATAAAGAACTCCTCTCCCTTGCTTCAGATCCAACTCTTCCAAACACCCGTTCAACCAGATCATCTCCTTGCTTGCTTCAGTCACCGCGACATACTCAGCCTCGGTTGTAGACAAAGTCACAATCTTCTGCAGACGTGAGACCCAGCTCACTGCTGTCGACGCTAAGGTATAAACATACCCCGTGGTGCTTCGCCTCGTATCATGATCACCGGCGAAGTCCGCATCCACCAGCACCAACTCCTTCCTCCTAAAACATAGTGGCTTGTTTGTTGTTCCCCTCAAGTACCGCATTATCCACTTTACGGCCTCCCAATGCTGCTTTCCTGGATTGCTTGCAAATCTGCTCACAACTCCCACTGCATGGGCGATGTCCGGCCTCGTGCAAACTATTGCGTACATGAGACTCCCAATAGCCGAAGAATATGGCACCCTGCTCATATGCTCTCTATCTGTATCTGTCTTAGGCGATTGCTCCTCAGATAACTTGAACTGACTTCCAAGGGGTGTGCTAACAACTTTAGCATTCTGCATGTTGAACCTCTGAAGTACCTTCTCAATGTATTCAGCTTGGCTCAAACTCAATGTCCCTTCAGCTTCATCCCTACTGATTCGCATCCCTAGAATCTGCTTCGCTGCACCCAGATCCTTCATTGCAAATTCCTTTGCTAGCTGCCTCTTCAAACTGTTTATCTCTTCTAAACACGGTCCTGCTACCAACATGTCATCAACATATAATAACAAAATAATGAAGCTGGACTCGAACCTTTTGAAATAACAGCAATGATCCGAATTGCATCTTCTGTAGCCATTGTTCTGCATGAAGTTATCAAACTTCTTATACCACTGTCTCGGAGCCTGTTTCAAACCATATAAGCTCTTCTTGAGCTTGCACACCATCTCTTCCTTTCCTTCTTCAATGAAGCCAACAGGCTGCTTCATGTAGATTTCTTCATCCAAGTCACCATGAAGAAAGGCAGTCTTCACATCTAACTGCTCAAGGAAGAGGTCTTCTGCAGCTACCAAACTCAACACCACTCTGATGGTTGTGAGTTTCACAACAGGGGAAAATATCTCCGTGTAGTCCACTCCTTCCCGCTGTTGAAACCCTTTCACTACTAATCTGGCCTTGAATCTCTTGCTTCCATCACTCTCCTGCTTGACCCGGTAGACCCATTTGTTGTGCAAGGCTTTCTTCTGCGCAGGTAGCTGGGCTAACTCCCATGTCTCATTAGTGAGTAGAGAATCCATCTCCTCCTGCATCGCATGCTCCCACTGCTGAGATTCACTCACTTGCACTGCCTCTTCATAACACTCCGGCTCTCCGCTATCTGTTAAGAGTAGATAATCAAGTGACGAGAGGTATTTGGGATTTGGTTTGGGTACCCTAGATGACCTCCTAGGCTCCACGCCCTGGGTAGTAGCTTCTGCACCTGTAGTCTCCTCCGTTCTACGGTCAGAACTGACATCGTCGCCCCCATCTGGAAGTTCCTCCAAATCCATGTACCCGGATCCACCTGTATCCGTAGTGCTGCTCCCACTGCTTTGGCTATCCTTGGCATTGTCCCTGTCCTTGTACATCACATCCTCATTGAATATCACATCCCGGCTCCTGATGATCTTCCTGTTCTTCTCATCCCAAAGGCGATACCCGAACTCATCAATGCCGTATCCAATGAATGTGCACTTCTGTGACTTAGCTTCTAGCTTGTCCCTGACATGGTCACTGATATGAACATAAGCCACGCAACCAAATACCCGCAAGTGTGAGAGATTTATCTTCTTTCCACTCCAAACCTCCTCTGGAATCCCAAAATCTAATGGAACTGATGGCCCGTGATTAATAAGGTATGCTGCCGTATGCACCGCATCCGCCCAAAATATCTTAGGCAGACCTGCATGTAATCGCATGCTCCGCGCACGCTCTGTCAAGGTCCTATTCATGCTCTCTGCAATGCCGTTCTGCTGCGGCATCCCTAGAGTAGTCCTCTCTAAGCAAATCCCATTCAAAGCACATAACTTCTTGAACTCCTTCAGCTCGTATTCTCCATCATTGTCTGATCTCAAACACTTCACTTTCAGATTTGTCTCGTTCTCTTCAGCTTCGGCACGTGTCTCACGTTCTTCAAGTTCCACTTAGAGCCCTTTATCTGTATCTGAACGTCGCCCTTTCCAACAATATTGCAAGGTTCATTATCCCCCAAGTATACTTTACCAAAGTCCCCTGCTACATAGTTCTGAAGTAGTTTCCTATTTGCAGTGGCGTGGAAAGAAGCTCCTGAGTCGATGACCCAAGAATCAGAATCGCTATCCATAGCAAGGATCAAGGCATCCTGCACGATATGAGCCTCCTGCTCACCCGCATCCTTCTTTGGTGCTTTACAGACCGAAGACATATGGCCCTCCTGGCCGCAGTTCCAACACTTCCCTTTGATAGACCTAACCTTCGAGTTCGGCCTCTTCTTCACTGATTTCGACCGATTCCTGTTCTGGTTCCCTTTCTTCTGGCTTCTGCCTCTCTGCTCGAAACTTAGGGCTGAACCTGAACCTTCTGATTCGGACGATTTCCTTCTAACCTCCTCGGATAGAATCATGCTAACAACCTCATTCAGCTTCAACTTCTCTTTCCCCGCCGAATTGCTGATTGCCGTCACACAACCTGCCCAACTATCCGGCAACTGCGATAGTAGTAGAAGGGCCTGCACTTCGTCATCGAACGTGATGTCCACGGAGATAAGTTGATCAACAATCGTGTTGAACTCGCTGAGGTGCATCGTGAAGGACCGTCCTTCTGCCATCTTGAGGTTGAAAAGAGTTTTGACTAGATGCACCTTGTTTGCTGCCGACGGTTGCTCGTACATCTTCGCGAGCGCTTCCATAAGCCCCACCGTCGTCTTCTCCTTCAGAATATTGTGGGCTACTGATTTGGCGAGCGACAACCGGATTTGCCCTAGAGCCTTCCTATCCAGTACCTCCCAATCACCATCTGACTCCGTCGTCTTCTTTCCCTTTTCCTTGCCCAGAAGCGGGCGATACAAGTCCTTCTGGTACAGATAG